AAAGTGAATTTTTAAAAAATATCAATAAATAGCCGAAACCGGTTTGGCTCAGTGGTAGAGCGTCGGGCTGCGGACTGAGGGGTCCCAGGTTCGATTCCGGTCAAGGGCATGTACATTGGTTGTGGGCACATCCCCGGTGGGGGGTGTGCAAGAGGCAGCTGGTAGATGTTTCTCTCTCATCGACATTTCTAGCTCTCTATCCCTCTCTCCTCCTCTCTGTAAAAAATCAATAAAATATATTTTTTTAAAAATATCAATAAATATATTAGTCTGGCTAAAGGCTTACCAAAAAGAAGATAGAAATACCAGTAATAGCAATGAAAGGTAGTATATTATTATAAACCCCCTAGGTATTCCAACAACAACTTTATGCACATAAATTCAACAAGTTAGAGGAAATAAATTCCTTGAAAACCACAAATTCACTGAAGATGAAATAGATCATCTGAATAGTCCTATAAGTAGTAAAGACACTGAAGTTGTATTTAAAACTCTTCCCCAAAGAGGCAATCTGGTTTCACTGGTGGATTTCACTAAACATTTAAAGACATAACAATTCTACATAATGTCTTCAAAAAATAAAATAGGAGGGAACACTTAACTCAATTTATGAGGCCAGCACTCCCTGATATCAAAACCAGATAAAAACAGTTCTATAAACCAACATGTCTCATGAACCTGAACTCAAGAATCCTCAATGAAATATTAGCAAATTGGATCCAGCCTTATGTAAACAGTGCAAGACCAAGTATGGTTAATCCAGGAATGGAAGGCTAATTCAGAAAATCAATGTATTCATGGTCTAAGGGAGGAAAACCAGAAAGTCGTATCAAGTGAAGCAGAGAAAGCATTTGATAAAATTTAACCCCCATTCATGATTAAAAACTCTTAGTAAAGTAGGCATAGAAGGGAACTTCCTCAACCTGATAAAGAGCATCTACAAAAAAAGGGAGGGAGGGAGTTAAAAAGGAAGGGAGGGAGGGAAGGAGGAAGGGAGGGAGGGAAGGAGGTAGGGAAGGAGGAAGGGAGGGAGGGAGGGAGCTCTCTCTCTCCCTTCCTCTCTGTAAAAAATTAATAAAATATATTTAAATAAATAAAATAAAATAAAATACATTTTGAATGGTTCAAAGATGTAGACACAAAAATAGAAAGCACAAAAGTAGTAGAAGAAAACATTTTTTTAAATCTAAAAGTGGAGAAAAACTGGCAAATGTGATGGCATAAAATACAAAAATTATGTAAAGAAAAATAAATAAATTTGAACAAACTGGAAAAAATATTTGCCATACACGTCAAATGCTGATTTGCCTCATTCCAAAGAGCACTCTTGCAAATCAATCAGAGAAGACTCACACCCTGGGAAACCAGATAAAGGACATATTGGGTCTAGTAATAATTAATGTCGTTTTTAAACATTTGTTTAAAATCTTGCTTGGTGTTGACTTGTATTGACATAACCTTCAAACACGTGGTATTTACAGAACGTGTGAAGTGCAATTAACAAGTTTTGCTTGAAAAAGTTTGTGTTTGGTTTGGTTTTTGTTGCAAAACTAGGGCTAAGAAGATGGCGGATGAAGAGCATATTCGGCACTGCATGCTTTACGAGTTCCAATTAGGAAGAAAAGCAAGTGAGGCTGCAAAAAACATCTGTAGTGCTCTTGGTCAAGATGCAGTTAGCGCCAGAAAATGCCAGCGTTGGTTTGAGAAATTTCGCGAGGGAAATTTTTCGTTAGATGACAAGAGTGGTCGAGGCCGTGTGTCCAATTTTGATCAAGAAGCTCTTCAAGCTCTTTTGGTGCAAAATCCTCAAATTACCCAACAAGAGCTTGCCACAACTTTAAATTGTTCACAAAAAACAATTTCCAATCAATTGCGTGCACTTGGCAAAGTCCAAAAGTTTGGGAAATGGGTTCCTCATGAGTTGACTGACAACAACCGTAATCAAAGAGTCACAATTTGCAGTTCGCTCCTCTCTCGTCAAAACCGTTTGCCGTTTTTAGAGCAAATTGTTGCCGGAGATGAAAAATGGGTGCTGTTTATTTGAAAAGGCAGCCTCAATTGTTGGACAAAAATGAGGCTCCGCAGCCCACGCCAAAATCTGACTTGCATGCGAAAAAAGTGATGTTGTGTGTTTGGTGGAATTTTAAAGGAATTCTTCATTATGAACTTTTACCATGTAACCAAACCATTACAAGTGCAGTGTATAGTGCCCAATTGGAAAGGTTAGCCCAAGCTTTAAGAGAAAAAGAACCCGCGCTGATTAATCGGAAGGGCGTAATTCTTCACCACGATAACGCACGACCGCATACTGCAAGAATCACTGCTGAAAAACTGCGCCAGTTGGAATGGGAAGTTCTCCCTCAACATGCATATTCTCCTGATATTGCCCCTTCCGATTACCATTTGTTTCGTTCTTTGCAAAACTTTCTTCTTGGAAAAAAATTTAATAATGAAGAATGCCTCAAAAATGCATTGACCGAATTTTTTGCATCAAAATCACAAGAATTTTACAACAGAGGGATTAAAATGCTTCCTGAGCGTTGGGCACAAGTAGTAGAAAACAACGGCAACTATATTGTTGATTAAATTTTGTTGTATTGTTTAAATAAATTCGATTTTAAAAAGTATAATAATTGGAACTCGTAAAGCATGCAGTGCCGAATATGCTCTTCATCTGCCATCTTCTTAGCCCTAGTTTTTCAACAAAAAACAAACCAAACACAAGCAAAACTTGTTAATTGCACTTCACACGTTCTGTAGATACCACGTGTTTGAAGGTTATGTCAATACAAGTCAACACCAAGCAAGATTTTAAACGAATGTTTAAAAACGACATTAAATATTACTAGACCCGATAGCTTCCATTTTGGCCGTTTTTACCACGTACACATGTGGTCATTTTTTTTTAAATATATTTTTATTTTATTATTGATTTTATACAGAGAGGAAGGGAGAAAAAGAGTTAGAAACGTCAATGAGAGAGAAACATCTACCAGCTGCTTCTTGCACACCCCCTACTGGGGATATGCCCGCAACCAAAGTACATGCCCTTGACCAGAATCGAACCCGGGACCTTTCAGTCCCCAACCCGACGCTCTATCCATTGAGCCAAACCGGTTTCGGCCACATGTGGTCATTTCTAAAATTAATAAAACATGATGGGAAGATAGGCAGGTTGGTAACAGGAACTGCATTTTTTTTTTTTTTTCACTCTTCCTTCTAGCACCTTTTTGGGTGCTGACCAGTCTTCACTTGTGGAGACCACTGGTCCTTACAACCTGAATTGTTATTCCTGATTGTAAAAGAGCATCGGTTAAGACCAGCGTCATAGGCTTCCTGGCCCCAGGTAGAGGACGGTGCGCCAGGCCAGTGCCCTGGCCACGACTGGTACCGTATCAGTGTGTGCTCAGACCCGCAGGCCCACCGTGAGGGCAGCATCCCCCAGGGAACCACACACCTGGTCTGGGCACCCTCCCTGCCTCCCAGAAGGGTGCAGCTTGGGAAACAACCCCCTTTGGTTTGCGTGCACCCTCTTCAGAACAAGCACAAGGCGGGAAACATGCAGGCAGACAAAACCTCCGCCTCTCCAGCAGCCACAGAGGCAGCAGTGAATGGTACTCTGTACGGATGACGCCAATGATCTTTTATTAATGAGGTATTTAATTGCATTTTATAAAACATAAAGAGAAATCATTCCACAACAAACTGCAGATTCAAGACGTAATTCTTCAGATTTATGGTGAGGCTATCTGAGGGCCCCAGTGTCTTGCAACTGCTGAGCCATCTGTGAGGAAGTCACCTAATGTACCAGGGAAGCTATTACAAACTGGCTTTTTATAAGGAAATCAATCGTGACTGCACCTGTGCGTGTCACGCCGCTGCCCCTCCGCGCTCCGTCCAAGCGTGTGCTTCCCTGTGGAAGTCTCCTTTGCAGGGCCTTCTGCTCAGTCAACGGCACTGCCGAGTACAAAGCTTGATGAGCCTCCTAGTAGAAAATGAAGAAGCTACAAAAGGCAAACAGCTCAGTTTGCTATGGCTTATAACCAGGGCATAAATTCTGTTTGAAAAGGTCAACTGCTCAGAGCAGAAGACACAAGGATGCAGTGACGTGTCTGAGAGGCGCCCACAGCTCTGTGAAGGGATTTGCACCGTGTGTTTATAGTGTTTCCAGGCCTGGCGATGGCAGCTCTGCACGGAAGCCCACCCCACTAAGCTCAGTGGTCCTTAGCATTTTGGGGTCACTGGGTTTGCTTGAAGGGAGCAGCAATGGACAGGAAGGTGACATGGACAGGTACGTGTCAGGAGGCCGCACCCAGGCTGGTGCCGCCAAGGTGCCACTAATTTATAAAACAGGCCGCAGACGGGCCTCCAAACACCCCACACTGGACTAGTAACAGAACAGAACTTCCCTGTCGCGCTCATTTTCCCACTTGCTCATGGCACAGTCGCATTTAGAGACAGCTGAGAAGGCAGGCATGGACCCTCATGGACACCTACTGAACACCCAGGCTGCTGCCATCTCCGAAACCTTTGGCCATTTCCCCCCATTAATTTGTAAAAAAGCATCGCGATTCCCATCCAAATACCTGTCCTTTACCCGTCGAAATGGAATGTCAAGGCACTTTAACGGTGACAGACACCCGATCAGAGGCCAAGCAACCCCAGCAGCGGGCCAAACCCCCACACCCAGAACCCACATGCCCATCCAACGCTGATTCCAACAGAGTCTCCATGTCTTTGCACTTCAGCGAGACAAAATTTACAAAGTGCAGGACTTAAGGTGCTCATTTGACACTCGGGATTTCTGGGAGACACACTCACACGTCAATGTATGGCATGGAAGGGGTGGCTGCGTTCTGAGTCAGCACCCCCAGGATGCGGCCGGGCAGCTCTGGGTGAAAGCTAAGCACCCGCAGGATGGGGAAGAGGTCCGCAGGCTGAGCGCTCTGTCCGGGGGGGTCATGCACGGCTCCAGGCCCACCCTCGCTCCAGGCTCCTCCTCACTCCTGGTCAGGGACTTCCCGGAGCCCCTCGCTGTGGCGACTCCGCCCACTGATCTCCAGCAGGGCCTGGGCCTCGGGGTCCACATCCAGGATGCTCTTGTTGCTCTTGGCCTTGGGGGAAAAGGAAATGGTGTGTCCAGTGACCAAGGATGCACAGCCCAGAGCCGAAGGGGATGCTTCCAGCTTATTTGAGTGGACAATAAGCCTACTGCTGCCACAGGAAGTGTGGTGGGGGCTCCGGCTCCTTCACTGTGGCCTCCCTGCCCCGGCATGCCATTGCTGGGAGGTGACAAGGGGGCCCAACCATGACTCAGTACAGAACCACAGAATTAGAAGGCACCCCAACCCACCTCCTCTTGCAGATGGGGGCCCCTCAAGCACCCCAGTTCCCACCGTGGGCTTTCCTGGTTGTTCATTCTGCTAATCTCCCCACCTCAAAGGACCCTGACAGGACTCTGCTGTGCCCCCACTGGCATCCCTCTGGCCAGCAAATTCGGGGAAAAGATGTGGGATAAACCGTCTCCAGAGGCTTCCCTCTAGCCAACGGAGTGAGGCTGAGGAAGTGGAGAAGCGCCCCACGCTCACCAGCTTGGAGTGGGAGTCGTCTCCGACCGCCCACACCTCCATCTTCTCAAACCGGAAGTCCTCCTGGGCCGACAGCTGGGGGCTGTTGTATGTGGTGCACGCGGGCTTGGCCTTGCTGTGTCCTTTCCCGAAGTCGACGTCGATCCACAGCCCAAAGTAGTGATGCTGCCCTCCCATGCCCTGCGGAGGGAAGGCCGTCAGTGTCTCCCCAGCCTGCGTGTCTGACTCCGAGCTCACATCAGCCTCGGCCGCCAGGCCGAGATAGACAGACTGGTGCCAGTTACATATCCCAGCGCAAGTTACCGGAATAACCACCGAGGTGTCCGGACCCCCACCGCATGGCTCTCTCTGGGGGCTACCCTGGCTGACAGAGGACAGAAACACGCCACCAGGGCCCCGAGAACCTCGTGGGAAACCTGCAGCAGGGACACTTGTCCCCCACAGCCCAGGGCACTGCGCTGAGGGTGTAAGACCCTCACTCCGTGTGCCACCCACAAGGAGGGAAACCAGGAGGCAGGCCCGGGGCGGGAGGGGAGTGACACAGAGCTGTTCTACCATTGCCACCTCTAAGCTCGTGGCGACGAGAACAGAACTGGGGCTCCCCTCCCTGGTCACGTGTCTGGGTGCCAACGCCACTACCTCTTCCTGAGGCCCTGGTGGCCTAGAACTACTTTCAAGCAAGAAGCCAAAGCAAGAAAGTGCAGTCGTCGAAACCGGTTTGGCTCAGTGGATAAAGCGTCAGCCTGCAGACTGAAAGGTCCCAGGTTTGATTCTGGTCAAGGGTATGTACCTTGGATGCAGGCACATCCCCAGTAGGAGGTGTGCAAGAGGCAGCTGATAGATGATTCTCTCTCATCGATGTTTCTAACTCTCTATCCCTCTCTTTTCCTCTCTGTAAAAAATCAATAAAATATATTTTTAAAAAAGAGAGAGAGAGAGAGAGAGAGAGAGAGAGAAGAAGAAGAAGAAGAAAAGTGCAGTTGATTCTCAGCAGCTTCTCTCCCTCGGACTGATGATTGGCGATTCCTGAGGACCCACTGGGTGCTGCTCCTGAGACCAAAGCCCTGTGGTCACCACACTGCCCTTTCTGGGAGGTGTCGGGTCCTCAGGTGGCCCCGGGCAGGCATGCAGCAAGCTTGGGAAAGGGCATGGGGGCGCTCTCCATCCTGACAGGGGGACCAGCCTTCCTGGACCCTGGCTTTGCAAGCACAGGGCGGAGTTTCCCGAAAGGAGGTTTTTGTTAAACAGAGGAAAATAAATTGGCGGGAGTACTGGTGAGAGGTACATCTCTCACCCACACTCAGCTGGCCCGCAGCTGCTGGGCTGCTGTGTGTGCATGGGGCCTGCCCCCTCGACCACCCAGGCCCTTGGCCTTCACCTTCCCTTGCCTCTTCCTGTAGCCGAGTCTCCAGACCGGAGCACTGAGCGAACAAGAGGTGCAGCCACCCCACACACTACTTTGTGGGTCACGGGTGACAACTCCCCATGGCTCCAGGGAGTCCAGCCCTGGCTGTGCCACTCCCCCAGCTCGTCTCCCAGGCACATGGCCGGGCAGCAAGGCCAGTGACAGGTCTGACACCGACACCATGTCCGGCCACGAAGGCCATGGATCATCTAATTACCAGGAAAACTGGCCAAATCCACCATCGCACACAAGCCACCAAAACACCCCATCCGAGGCTCCAGGTGAAATTCTGTTACACAGGGGCAAATCCTGTCCCTCCTGTCACTCATCTCGGCCCTGGCACCGGACAGAATGAGCCGAACAGGGCACGTGGTGTGAGTGAGTGCATGCAGCTCCCCGGTTATCAGGACTGAGTCCCCGGGACAGACATCCGGTGGGACATCCCAGCCCTTCCCCGGTCCTCACCAGTCCGTTTGGGATGGTCTGCTGCCCGTGGTTCAGGTACATGTAGTGGTTGTTGTAGCCCGTGCACCTGTGCACGGCCATGCTGGGGGAGATGGAGAACAGGAAGCATCTGCTGTCCCCTGAAAGTGACCGGAGCACACATAAGCAGGATCACAGAGAGAAGCAAGGGCTGCAAACAAGTCACCGCTCAGAGGCAGAGCAGCGAGGCCATCACGTGGGTCTTCACGTGTGCCCTGAGCTCACACACACCCGGGGCTCAGCCATCACGCAGGCCCCGCCGAAGACAGGGGAGCAGTCATGGGACTCTGCCCGCTGCTCATCGGAAGAACGCGACCAAGTCAAAGGGGCGGATGCCCTTTAACCTCGGAGCAAGGAGCCTGGCGGTCACTCCAGGTCCTGACTCGGTGTGGGCACAGCCTCCTCCAGTCGGCACCGGACGCTGTGGAAGGCCGTCCCAGCCTAAAAGAGCACACCACTCGGCAGGGAGGGAACCCCTGTAGACACCCCGCTGCCCCGCAGGAAGGATGGGGCAGGCGGGGAGAGGTGACTGGCTACCTTCATCCCAGGGCAGGGCATGCTGCCTCTGAGAGCAGGTACCAGTTGAAACTGTGGGCATGAACACACCCTGAGTCTCAGAGCCTTCCCTTTCTTGATGTATTCATTCCAAAAGCACCTTCAGCACATCCAGGAGAGGGGTGGAGGCCCACCTTGCCCCCAGGAAGCCCAAGCCCAGGGGCAGCCACACCAGAGATGCCCCCACAGTTGTGTGAACTTGGTCCAAAGGCCTGCCCCTGCACAGTGACAGTGTGAAGCGCACCTGGTGTCAAAACTAGCCATACAACCCACACAAGAGGCAGTTCCTGGTCCTCGGGGTCAGGCAGTTCCTAAGACAGAAGCTCCTGGGAAGTTAACGGAGCGCAGACGTGGAGGGCAGACACGAAGGGGGCTTCGAGCCCAGGGGCCTCAAGGAGCAGGAAGGGCCGAGCTGGGTAAACAATGCTCAAGCCTCAATCCAGACAGATCCACGGGGTGCAGTCAGGACGGTCAGGGAGTTTCTGGAGGCCGAGCTTCGGGGAGGACATCCTGAGACGGAGACAGCTGCGGGGAGAGCCACTCCCTGGAGGAATCCCCAACCTCCCGCCCTGGGACAAGACGTGTGGGGAAAGCGAGGCCCTTTCCTGTCTGAAGGGCGTGTGAGCTCTGGAGAGGGCAGCCAGGGAGATGAGCCTGGAGCCGTCACAGGAGCCAAAGGACAGCGGTCCTGACTCTGGGCAAAGACTTGAGTCCATGGGCTTAGATGGCCCAGCAGGTGGGGGCAGTTTTGGAAGCAATGAGCTACCCGGTCCCACCCCACTGCCCCCATGCCGGTCACAGGATCCCTTTGCTTTGCAATCCTAGGACTGTCTTTCAGCCAACATTTACTCAGTCTGATGCTGCTAAGCAAAGCCACGGGGCCACAAAGCAGAGGCCCCCTCGGCTGCAATGCACCCCACTTCAGTCCACCTGGGGCTGCCCTCGGCAGGGAGGCCACGTGGGGAGGATTCTTCCTAGGACATGGCGATAAGGACCCAGGGAGGCAGTAATGTCTGCAGAAAACCACACCAACAGTGAGGCCCCCACCTCACTCCCACAGCGACAACCTGACAACCACCCATGTGACACAGTTTACAAGCTCCTTCCCACACTTCTGGGGGGCTGAAGCCCTGCCCAGGACCAGGGCCGGACCCGAGGCTCTGTGCCCAGCCCAAATCCACGGGCCTTTCAACTGCACCACAGGAGACAGAGCAGACGTGAAGCGACCCCGTGGCTGTCACTTCAATCCCAAACATCAGAAGGGATGGCTCCCAAGCCAATGGACAAGAGCGCAATCTCTGAATCGGGCGGGACTCTGGAGCAAGGCTGCCCTCTGCTGGGATTCCATCCTCGTATTTCAGAACAGAATGAACTCGAGTTGGAGAGCTTGGTGACTGCATTTTCCGCCGTTCTTCGGGAAGATTAATTCTGCTTGTTAATAAAACATTAGACCCAACAGCACTAACCTGGCATTAATATTACAGGAGCTGATAGAAGCAAACGTTTTATTCCTAATGGCTCTCGGGGGGGTGTGCTTTCCACATCCTAAAGCACGGCCTCCACCCTCAGGACAGAGCAACTTGCCGTTCCCCGATGCCTGGGAGCGGGAGGGGTGCCAAGCCCGTGACACTGACAGGGAAAGGGGCTGCGCAGAACGGGGCGCTGCGGCCTGAGACCGCGGTCCCAGAAGAGCTGCCAGGGTGGGCTCCGGGCTAGTGTCCGGCGATGCGGGTTCCGGGGGAGCCCCCACTCCCAGAACTGATCAGAGTGGCGCCAGGTGCCTGAACTGCTTGCACACACAGTGTCTGGGGCCGACCCTGGGACGGGAGTCTGGGACTTTGCTTCATGCCTGGCAGAGGGTGCCCACATGGCCGGCCCCCAATATAACCCTGGGCACTGAGCCCCGACTGAGCTTCCGTGGTGGACGGCACGGTGCACGTGCTGTCACGGCCCGTTGCTGGGGGGAGTGCAGCACGTGCTGGGGGGCTCCCCTGCGAGGAGACGCTGGGAGCCGTGCCTGGTTGCCCCAGACTTCATCCCAGCCTGTTCCCTGTACTGATCTTGTTCTGTGTCTTCTCACGGTGATAAACCACGGCCGTGAGCACAGATCTCTGCTGAGTCCATGAGTGCTGCCAGTGGAACGCTGTGTGGGGAAGGCCTTGAGCAGTGGTCGGCAAACTCATTAGTCAACAGCCAAATATCAACAGTACAACGATTGAAATTTCTTTGGAGAGCCAAATTTTCTAAACTTCTTCTAATGCCACTTCTTCAAAATAGACTCGCCCAGGCCGTGATACTTTGTGGAAGAGCCACACTCAAGGGGCCAGAGAGCCGCATGTGGCTCGAGAACCGCAGTTTGCCGACCATGGGTCTTGGGGATCCCGGACAGTGGGGAAGAGCTGGGAGCAGCACCTGGACTGAAGATACAGAACATTCTAAATCCGAGAGAAAATGAAATCCTAGAAATAACAGGATATCTGAGATAGAGGTACCCGACCTTCATCTCATGAGTCCTTCCACCTCATCCAAGCACAGGGAGGCCCCCCGCTGCTAAACCTCTGCAGCTGGATGTACACACACACACACACACACACACACACACACACATCCCTGCCAGCAGGGGCTCTGCCCAGCGGAAAAGACAGGAACGATTCCAGAGGCTTGCAGCTCCTCGGAGCACAGGGCCCTCGTGGGGCGGTGAAGGTGTCCTGGAGGAGGTGACCCTGGCTGAGTCCCCAACAGGTGAAGAGGGAGAAAGCAGCATGTGTCATGTCCTGAGATGAGAGGGAGCGGCCTGTTCTGGAAACCGCAGGAAGTTCAGGGGGACCGAGCACAGATTGCAAGGGCGGTAGGAGTGCGCCGGGAGAGTGGAGGTGAAAGGCGCCCGCCCGAGGGCAGTGGGGTCTGTTAGAGTTTCCAGGAGACGAGCTGGGACATGGCAAACGGAGGGAAAGACTAAAAGCAGAGGACCCATGAGAAGGCAGCTGCACCCGCTGCTGAGAGCGAGACCAAGAGAAAGAGAAGCGGCGGAGGGACGCAGCAGAATGGCGGGAAACGGATGACCGTCTGGTTTGGATGCGCAGTCCCTCTGCCTCCCACATCTCAGGTCCCTGGAACCTTCCTTCCACTCACACAGCTCGGGAGGGTGTTCACCCCGCCGCGCACGGGGAGGGAGCCTGCCCAGAAGGCACTTAGCCCTCGGGAGTGAGAGCGGGAATGGACCTGCACTCAGAGCCACGAGGAAAAGCCCTCCACAGCCATGGCCCCGAGGACCCCAGCTGGGAACACAGACTCAGGCAGATGGGCCACGCTCCGGGGACACACAGCAACACCGAACCCCAGGAAGGCACACATAACCCCAAGTATGCCCAGCAGATTAGCATCTTCAAAATGGCCCTTTAAAAATGCTTATCAGCCCTGACTGGTTTGGTTCAGTGGATAGAGCATTGGCCTGCAGACTCAAGGGTCCCAGGTTTGATTCTGGTCAAGGGCATTTACCTTGGTTGCGGGCACATCCACATGGGGAGGGTGCAAGAGGCAACTGAATCGATATTTCTTTCTCATCGATGTTTCTAACTTTCTATCCCTCTCCTTTCCTCTCTGTAAAAAGTCAACAAAATATATATATATTTAAAATGCTTATCAGAGCACTTTTCTTTGAGGAAGGGGGGGAATTCTTTAGAGCCATTTAGATCTCCCTACATTCAAGATCCCACAAGATCTTCCCAACTCCAGCAAAATCACAAAACCAAAAACATGGCGGCAGCAGCACAGCAGACACGGGGGTTCCAGGGAAGGAAGGCATCCCGTCTGAAAGAGGTGGCCTCTCCCGTGCCCTCATGAGGCCTCCGCAGCCCCGCCTCTCCCACAACCTGGACCTGGCACCATTTAGAAAACCTAAAATCCAAGTGAGGATGCGTGGCCTGCCTACCCGACCCTGCCGTTGGGACCAAAAGGAAACCCGGGCATCGTTTCGCCGCCAAAAAGCAGCCGCATGTTTCCCTCTCCTCCCAGACACAGCGAGGCAAACGCCCGGAGGAGCAGCCGGAAGAGACGCTCCCCCTTTTAACACTCACACCCTCCGCCGGTGCTCAGGGGTCTCCCGGCCGCAGCCGTCTCACCAGAACTCCTGACGCGCCCCCGGCTACCCACCCCTGGGTTTCAGTGGCCACGTCCTACCTTGAAACTGAGGCTTGACTTCCCAGGAGCAGGAGGCAAACCCGCCGAACACGTGGCCATCGTGGTCCTCGAGGAGCAGCAGGCAGGGCCCGCGGTGGGGGACGCGCCCGCAGAGCTGGGCGAAGCTGTGCCCGTGGAGCTCGGATGAGAAGAGCAGGTGCCAGCGGTGCTGCTGCTCCCGGGGCAGCTGGGAGTTGAGGTAGATGACCGACAGGGGGTCCAGGACGCTGTCAAACTCCTGCCCCTGGTCAACCTGCCGCTGGGGGACCAGCGTGGCCAGGTCGAGGGGCCAGGACAGGCCAAAGCCCCTGTGGATGACCACGCTCAGGAACGTGGCCACCAGGTGGGCCCTGAACACCCAGTCCTCGATCACAGCGGGGTCGCAGTCACCGTCCAGCTGCTCAGGGCCCAGCAGCCTCTTGCCGTCTAGGGAAAGGGAAAACGGTGTTAGTGGGCGATCACATGCCCTTATACCTCCTCACCTCAACCTGCAGGATGAGGATGGTGAAGAAATACTATGAACAGTCATATACCAAACCAACCAGACCATCTACAGTCTTCCCAAGGCGGGAGACTCACACTTTCTGATTCCAAAACGTGACTGCAGGCCCACAGTATCGAGACAGAATGGCACCATGGAGGCCTCAGCGTGTGGGCACGCGCAGGGCACTTGCCTGCAAGCTTCACCTCGGACAGCAGCTGCGCAGCCAGAGCCTGCACCCTGGGCGGGGGGCCGGGAGCTCTCTTCGGCGCCCAGCCTCTCAGCTCCTGCCTGTGGCTCAGCACGTGCACCAGAGAGCCGACGAGATCCTCTGTGAACTGGAAGGTTACAAAGTCACCAGGAATGACATTTCTACCGGGGACGGGGGACCTACGTCCTATCAGCAAGGGAGAGGGGTTTTATCCCTCTAATGCCAACTGCAGTGGCCTCCACGTGGAAAAAGATCACGTTGCTGAGGTAGTCATTCACTTTCCCAATGATCCCCTCAGCTGGTCTGGCTTTGCCAAGGCCTTTGTCCACCAGCTGGGTGACCCAGGCTTCCCACAAGGTGGGCATCTCTCCGATGCTTCCACCGGCGGCTTGACCGCCCCGAGCCCCCCACTTACGGACACCGGGCCCGTGGGGATGGCTGCACTGGTCCCCGGGCCTCCCTACCTTCTGGACTTCGCGTGCCTTCACGGCGCCGTCCGTGGCAGAAATCATCTTCAGGACCATGAAGCTCTTCTCCCTGGAGCTCCCCTTCAGCAGGTGGGACATGGACACTGTGAACTGCTCCCGGGAGACGCTCTCGCTGGGCCCCTTCGCCGGTCTCATCAGGTCGACCCTCCGCATGCCATCATACAGCCTGGAGACCAGGTCTGGGGGAAGCGCTTCCCCGATGTGGCTCTGGGAAGTACAAAGAGGAGAAAGGGCTAGACAGGGTCCAAGTTAAACATGGTAACGAGGGAACCACGGCCAACCACTATGCCATGATGCTTCTACCAGCATGTGGCCTTCCCAGGTCCTCACACGCACCATCTCTCCCGCACCGAAGGGTCTCGCATCACCAAGGACCCACATGCATAATGTGCCCTGGCTGGTGGCTCGTCATGGCCCTCGGATTCTTCCACAATCTGTTCCCCTCTCTCCAGACTTTCCCGTCTCCCCGTGGCTGGCCACGTCACTCCTACATCAGGCCGTCATCTGCTCTTCACTCTCCTTACAACATCTCCTTCCTCCTACACCGATAGCTGCCATTTGCACGTCTGAATTTATAAACATATGGTGCATGTGCCTATTTGCAGCTAATTTGGTCTCCTCTATATTAGGAGCTTCCAAACAGAGTAGCTGGCTTTCACTTCTTATCCAAGTTCTGTGTGCTTAACGTGCATTTTTAAATTAATTTTTATTTCAACCTAAAATCTAGTTCTTAATTAATGTCTTGCCAATAACATTCTGTAAATACCGCTTTCCTTTTGAGCGTCATCAGATCAGATTTGGTGCAGAGATTCAAAATAAATGGCGAGAGGAAGCAAATCACGAATTTCCATCCTGGTGGGGCCTGAACACGGGTCCTTCTGTAACCCTCCACCTACACTGTGTGTGTCAGCAGCCATGCTCTGCAGCTCCTGAAAAGCTGGCCCTCACCCTGGCTCTCAGGAGAATATCTACTTCTGTCAGCGTTTCTGGATTTCTACTGGAAAAGCAATTTCTAATTCCTTCTCAGGGGAAACTATAGAGTCACCAAGGCTTTCCGATCAACTTGAACCATATTTATCTTATGATGTTGCCACCCACTTATGATGGTGCCACCCACTCTGCCGTCCAGTCTAGTCTGGTTCTGTCTGCTCCAGCACCGGGGGTGACCAGGCAGATGGGGGTGATTATGGTCTAGCGGAGATACTTGTGCACACACATACACCACATGGCTGTGACCCACATAACCTCCCAGACCAGTTAGCTCATCTGTGAGGCGATTTTGCTGGGGGATCCCTGATGCCCATCAGCTCCCATTCCGCATGCTCTATAAGAGGAGGCTGCCGGAGCGCCTCACACAGGCCTTCCCTCCCACGGCCCCGGCACACGAGCCCATGTCATCTTTTCTGGTGTCTTCCCTCCGTCTGAGCACTTAGGCAGTTAAAGCCCCCAGGGAACAAGGCAAAAAGGTGGGGAAACGGGCATTTTAACCCCTGGATGAACCTTGACTTTGAAACATCATTATTTTCTAGGCAGACCATAAAATTCCTAAGACTTCACACACCTAACAAAGCCTAAGGGCAAAAAGAACATCAAACACTTAACAAATCCTAAAGGCAAAAGGAAACCTTTGCTGTTATTGGACCTATGAACCCGATAGGTCCAGAGATGGGAGGCGGGGCTGGCCCCTTTGTTCAATCTCATTGGAAATGTGAGAGGAAGGCAGAGCGGAGTAGCTGTGACATATGTACTATCTGACCCTGGACAGAAAAGGAACTTTTTAAAGTTCAGTCTTACAGAAACAGGGGGCCATGGTTTGCAGACTCCCGCCCTGGACTAAGCCTTAACGGGTGACTGTGGCTCTTGCCTTGAGCGCCTCCAGAGAAAAGGATCTGGGCGAGGCTGAGCTGCTTTTCTCCGATGACAGGGCATCAAACAACCGGTCCACCTCCGCCTGCTCCTCAGGAAGAAACTGCGACCAAACGCTCTGCTCCGGACGGCTCCCGCTGTTCCCCATCTTGCCTTATCACTGGCAGGATTCTCTACAGGAGAAGGTACCGAGTTAGAGAGAAAAATCAAATGCCATAACTGCAGAAAACAAACTGTCGAGGGCTGCAAGCATCACAGAGCATCCTGGGGCAGGGAGCTACAGGTAGCATCACAGGGCGGCAGAGGCCATGTGACAGAGGCCATGCGATGCCTAGGGACACTAACCAGTCTCGATTTTGTGCACTGGGCCCCTAGTAATAAATCATAGCCGTATCTCAGAGATTATTGTGATAATTAAATTATCCAGCCAATGAGCTCAGGAGTTTGCACAGACCAGAACCCAAAAGCAGGTGATCTTTGTTCATTATCACAGATCCATAGATTCAAAGAGAAAAGCATAGTCAGATGGAAAGAAAAAAAAAAATCTCTTGAGGGGCAAGTGCTGTGACTTCTTAATTCTTAACCTAAACTTAATCTGGAAACTCACTTTGGTGAAGTTGCTGGGGAGACAAGCACTCCATAAACCGCAAGGGTCAGCCATCTCCCACCAGGACAGTGAAGGAGGGGCAGCCATCCCAGAGGGCACGGAGTGTATGTAACAGGCCCCTCAGGTCCTGGCTGTTCCAAACCTCAAGGGGAAATGGAGGGCAATTGGGATCTTTTCTTTTTATTGAGGTGAGACTCGCTAAACATAAAACTCACCCTTTTAAGGATACAGCTCAGGGCACTTAGTACATTCCCAATAGTGTACCCCACCACCGCTATATGGTTCCAAAGCATTTCCATGGTGCCCCAAGGAAACCTCATAACCATTACTAGTCACTCCCCATTCCTCCTCCCCCAAACCCTGGCAGCCATTCACTGCTTACCTGTCTACAGGACCTGCCTACACTGGACTTATCATGTAAATGGGGTCACACGTGTATCCTTTTGTGACTGACTTCTTTCACTCAACAGAATGTTTTCGAGACTCATCCTGCTACAGTGCGTGTCAGCACTTCCTTCCTTTTCGTGGCCGAGTAATACTCCAGTGTGTGGAGAGAGCACATGTGGCATATCTGCTCATCTGCTGATGGACATTTTGGGTATTGTACACGCATGTTCACAGCAGCGATATTCACAAGTACTTGTTTGAGTCCCTGCTTTCAAGTTTGGGGGGTACGGACTTTGGAGTGGAATGGCTGGGTCCTGTGGTAATCTGATGTTTCACTTTGAAGAACCTCCAAACTGTTTTCCATTTGCCATCCATCCCCAGCAGCAAAGCGCAAGTATTCCGATGTCCCTGGATCCTCTCCAACTTTCTTGCTATTTCTCCCATCATTGTTCTTATCACTGCCATCCTGGCAGGGGCGCCATCGGCCGAACAGGAAGGCTCCAGCAGAGGCACGGAGAGGGACTCAGAGCACTTGCAAACCCAGGCTACAAATGAGGTCTTAGCAACCAGTGTAGGGCTGTCACTCACAGGTCATCTGATCTAAATACTTCAACTCCTCAAGTTTCTCAGCAGCATGAGGGCCAAGAAGGAAACCCAGACCCTGGCTCAGGGCCAGCCTGCATGCGGCTTTACTATCTCTAACCCAGGGGGCAGCACCAGCTGACCCCTAGTCCCCTCCAAGGGCACAATTCAAGCAGCCACGCCAAGACTGGCCTATCCTCTTCAATTATTCTAAGAAACCCAAGAAATAACCTGACCATTTAAGACAGGATTGGAGTTGAGACATCATCGTGGTCTTTAAAGACCACTGATTCCAACAGAGAGTGGGAAAGAGTGCAAAGCAAAGGGAGGAGCAGGGCACAACACCTATGGTTCTGAGGTAATTTCCTACATCCTACATGCTGTATGCTTCAGGAAACATTCTGAGTCGAGGTCCAGGAAAACCGCAATGGAAAGTATGTCACTGCCCCCCCCCCCTAAAGACAAGCAAGAAGCTGCACTTCCAAGTTGCTACAGGGAGAAAGTGTGTGGGGTCTTGGTAAGGGTGGTGAGGGGGCTTGGGATGGCGCTGGGCTGCCTCCTTGGAGGGTTCAGAGAAGGCAGGGTTCAGTCTGGCCTGGGTGCAGATCAGTGCCTGGGTGTCTTCATTTTTAACAAAGAAGCAGGGAGAACAGAAAGGGGCTACAGTTAGCACTAGGAAGGAGGCCCCACTGTTCAAATTTACCAGGAGAGGGGGAGGGAGGTATCAAGGGAGTATGCACTGTGATCTTATCTTTGTCTATACAGCCTGGTCCTGCTTTTGCTTTGTTCTGTCACAACTTTACATACACCGAGTGGCCAGATTATTATGATCTCTGAACTCATAATATGGCTACTCAGTATATATATTAGAGGCCTAGTGCATGAATTCTTGCATGTGTGGAGTCTGGCCAGCATGGTCAGGGGGAGGAGACGTGGGCAGTTGGCCAGCCTGCCTCTGGTCGAACTCATGATCAAGGGAACAATTTGCATATTAGCCTTTTATTATATAGGATATACACTGAGTGGCCAGATTATTATGTGTTCAGAGATCATAATATTATAATCTGGCCCCTCAGTGTATATCACTGGTAAATCATGACAGTCAAAAGTATTTTTAGATTCATACTCCCCACACATACCACACACATACCACAACCAAGTAATTCAAGTCACTCAAAATCTTTGTCAGTTTATCAGGCCACCAGAAGTTTTGTTACACGATTCTCCCTGTGTCCTATCTTGTTCTTCTGCTGAAATCCTGAAAGTGGTAAACGTATAAAAATGCACCCCAGTGAATTCATCTCATCCTCAGATGGACGGGGTCTTTATAACAAAGAGCTCACTTTTCCTTCCTCTAGAAAACCTCACGGCTGTGACATGAGAAAGCCATGATTCCGCTCAACACTGGCAGAGATGAAGAGCTTCCTGACACCTGGGAGGGGGAGGCTTCTGAGACGTTAGCACGGCTTCCTATCCAAGCTGAGCTCTCCAGGCTGCGCCCGCCCAGCAGGCTCCCACGGCCAGCCTCCCAGATGTGTGAGGCCCACGCGGGCACCAGGGCCTTCCTGCCCCTCGCCTGGCTCAGAGGGCGCTCCCTGTCCACCTTGCACACCTCACCATCGCACTCAGCCTTCGGGTTCCGAGACCACCTGGCATCTGTGACTTTCTTAGAACTGACTGTTGCCTTAATTGAAATGGAGACAGGACATTCTTGCTCATTCCGCTTGCCCCTCACTGCCCCCCACCTCCAGCACCCAGGTGCATGCCTAATTGCTTGGCTAGAATTTGAGTCACAAGAGACTCTGCCCCACAGCCACCTGCCCAGGACCTAGGCCAACCTGGTGCATGCAGGTACGGGGAAGTCATGTCCAATGACTGTGTCATATCCTTTACTGGCCTCTCCGGGGGACCAACCCATTCTCCCCCGTCCTTGTGGGCTCCCAGGTGTAAACCCCAAAGGCTGGCCTGGCCAAGGTCCTAAGAAGGCCCACGCACCCCATGTTCAGCTCCTATGGGACTTGCTCACAGTGGCTCAAGCTCTCAGGAGCGCCCTGGATCAGTACTCTACTATTCACAGCGGGATGGCTCGAGAGTGCCTCATCTCTGTACCCCATCAGGCCTAGGCTACGGCCGGGACTCAGCACATACAAGGAAGTGATTTGTCCCAGCCTGAAGAACACAAGCCCAGAAGCCACCAGCAGAACCCACAGCAAGGCCAGGATCTCGAGATGACGCCACCTCCGGCTTCTTAAGACACAGAAGTGTCACACCTCAGTTTACCGGAATCCCGAGCACGCTCCGCCCTGCTCAAAACCAAAGATTTGCTCTACCAGGGGACACCAGCCCCAGTAAGGGGTTTCTCATCCTCTGCCCCACTGGCGGGGGCGAAAGGCCACTCATTTTTAAATGCCCCTCCTCGGAAGTTTGTGGTGTACCCAGGGGTTGTGCCATGAAGGGGCCACAGGTCCCGCCTCCTGCAGGACACTTCCTGACGTCAGCAAATGCATCTATTCCTTCAATAAACAGCTCAGCATCTCCTGAGCAGGTGACAGAGAGAAGCCTCAGGCAGGCCTGGGCCTGCGGGAACTCCTGTGTAACAGGGAGAGGCAGACAAGGGCTGCAGGGTCAGGGGGATCAGGGTGAGAACTCATGCTCAGGCTGGGTCTTCAGGCACCCACAGGAGGCTCACCTGGGAAGTGGGGACAGTGAGCACAAAGGTGTGGGATGAACTCCAAGATTAGTGAGGTGAGAGGTCTGGCGGGGGAAGGTACCTGAAGGGACTACAGAGCAAGGGATATCCATCTGCCCCTCACGTCCAGCCCTCCCACCTCCTCCTCCATCCCGTTGGAAATAGGTTCCTCCACTGTTTGAAAACAAATCAGGACAGAGCAGCCCGGCTAGCCATGCCCTGTGCCCGGCCAGCTTTGCCCAGTTCCCGGCCAGCCTTGCCCAGCACCCAAACACTGTGAGAGAGGAAAGGTTGGGCGAGCAGCCAAGGCAGGGCAATGCAGAGGAGAAGTGCGGGCCATCAGCTTGAGGGTGGGCACAGGGCAGCGCCTGCTGGAGACACAGGACAAGCCCTGAGGCAACACCATTTTCCTAGTAGGAAGGAGTGCAGTGCATATGGAGCAGCTGCAAATAGGAGCTTCGGGCCTATGGGAGGAGGGGCAGCTTCTAACAACATGCCCTCCCCCCCTCCCCACCAGCCCCGCCATTCCTAGCCCGCAGGCACTGGACAAGGGACGAATCTCAAAACATCTCTTTTTAAAGAGCGCCTGCCAGGCCAGAGGCAGTGATGGTACAAAGTGTCCCCGGTTCATCCACCCCAGCCTCCATCGCTGTGAACATGCCAGAAATCTACACTCAATTTTGGGAAGGACACGAAGGCCTTCTATGCGTCCTTACTTCACAATGCAAGTTCCTGGCTTCCTTCCAGTCCCAGCGATGGCTTTCACGGGGGTGCACCTCACCACGGGGCACCTATTCTTTCCTGGCAAGTTGTGCAAACAGGCACCCTCCGCTGGCCTGCGTCTCCTGTAGGGTCCTATGCCACGTTCCCTTTCAGGAGGACG